GTGATGAGGAGAAGCTGGGGGCACGGTTGACTGGCTGCTTCGAGCAGCATTGTCAGAGGCAGTTTGGCTGGTTGACGTTCTCCCGCTGCTTCCCCCCAACTCCACCCTACACACCTCTTTATTCCGCCGCTCACCCCGCTCATCCCACTCACCCCACTGCCCCCACTCCCCGCATCCCCTTACGCAGCTCGCCCAAGCGACTCTACAGAACGAGGCGCAGCAGCTGGTGGCGTGGTTCGAGGAGCCGACGAGACGGAGTCCTGTTGTTTGACGTCTCCCTCTATTCTCGCTGCTCCCCCCACTCCCCCTTCCGCCCTTCACAGCTCGCCCAGGCGACTCTACAGAACGAGGCGCAGCAGCTGGTGGCGTGGTTCGAGGAGCACTGCGCGAGGGAGCTGGCGCGCGTGCAGGCGTCGGTGCGTGACGTGCAGCAGGACGTGATACAGAAGTGGGCGTGGTTGCCGCACGAACAGCGCGCCAAGCTGGTGCAGGCAGCGACGGAGAGGGAGGAACAGGTGGGTGGGAAAGATTGTTGGTCGGTGGCTCGTAAGTTTTTGTTTGGAGCCGGTTAGGAAGTGTATCGAGTCGCTTAAACAGCAGTGTGAGCCGACTTGTTGTTTCAGGTTGAGTCCACATTCATTGTCTTCTTGTGATCCTTTTTTTTGAATGTTTCCGTACCCCTGCTGCTTCCGTTCCTCTGTTCTTTTTCGTGTCTGCAGGTGGCGAGGCTTCTCAGCGACGCACAGGCGTCTGTGCAGCAGAAGATGGTCGCTTTCTGGTTCGCTGCGCAGGACGCGGACCGAGCGGAGGCCGCCATGTGGCACGCCCTTGAGCTGGCAGCTGAGGCCGGTGGTGACATGGCAGTGGATGCTGACGTGGCGGCCAGCATTGCAGGGTTGCATGGGTTTCAGGGGAATCACACGGCTCTCAGAAGGTGGGTTGAGGGGGATTTTATTTAAAGGGGGACAGTGGAGGCAGTGGAGGGGGGTGAGGGCGGGGAAAAGCCGAGAAGGCGAATTGGGTTGCTTGTACAGTGGGATGTGTGTATCATGGGCTGTTGTTTTTCCATACACTGTGGTGTTCTGCCATGCATGCTACCATGTCAGGCGATGTGGTGGATTCTTACTCTCAACTTCTGTCACTCTTTTCTCACCACCAATCTGGTCTCCATTCCCTGGTCCGCTGTGCGGTGTGATGCGGTTTTCTCTGGTGTGTCAGGCTGCGGCATCGCATGCAGCAGGCGGGGAGTCCATTGGATGAGAACGCATACACGCTGATGGTGGCAGGAGCCATCAACGGTGGCCATCTCGATGTTGCCGCTGCCTCCATGCAGGAGGTGCGTATGGGGGATGCTGTGTGGTGTAATGCGGTGCAGTGCTTTGTGTTATGCGATCATATGCCATGACTTACAGTATGCCCACCTGTATCCAATGTCCATGTCCACCTGTATCCTCGTCTCATTCCTGTACCCTCGTCCATGCATGCATCCCCATCTCATGTGCACTCCTGTGTCTCAACCAGATGGTGGAACGAGGCATGGAGCCCAGTGGCCCCCAGCTGTCCACGCTGCTGCGCCTGCTGCAGCGCCGGGATGGCCTGGGTGCTCACAGCAATAACCACCGTGGTGGCAGTGGGGAAGCTGACATTGAAGATGCAGAGGGCCATGGGGCATCAGTGGAGTCGTACCTGTGTCTGTGTGCAACGCTGGCTGCAGCAGGAATTGTGGAGCCGTGTCTCGTGTACCTCTACATTGATGCCCTCCGCCTCTGCATCATTCGCATGCTCTAATGTGATCCGATCTGACCTGATCTGGTCTGGTCAGGTCTTTTCTGATCTGGTCTGGTCAGGTCTGATCTGATCTGGTCTGATCTGTCTGATTATATCTGATCTGCGAACCCGCTTTCAGTTCTCTTGACCTGAGGTTATTTTACTGGAGTTTAGGGTTCGTTAGTCTCCTGTTCTGTTTTGTTGCCCTTTTCCCTTGGAGCATACAGAGGAGCCCTGTTCACCTTTGGTGAGTGAGTGGCGCTCTGTAATGATCCTTCCTATACGAGTCATTTTGCTTGTTAGGCAGGCTTTTTTCTTATTTTGTTTTCACGTTCTGTAACTGTTTGGTGCAATGGGAGTAAGAAGTGAGTTGCAACTAGTAATGCAACGGACTTCAATACAATCAATAAATAATTCTGTGAAGAGAATAGAATGCACAAGCAGTTTCCTCCAAAGCCACAGCTCATGAGCTGAAACTAGGCAGCAAGTGGCAATGGCGGAAGGAAATGACTGCAGAAGGAAATGACTGCGCGAGCTGCACGGTACACTCACACTCTATGTATAAATATATATATAAAACCATAATATAATGAAGTTCACGAGTCAGGGGTTAGGAGTGAAAAGTGACGGAATATGGAGCAGGAGCAGTGTTGCTCTGCATTGTCAGAGCGCGCGGTGGAGGCGCGGAAGCACGCTCCGCGGTCCTAACGCGTCGGGGGGGTCTGGGGCTGTCCCGCGCAGAGCTGGTGCGCCGCGGAATGGAATGCGGCGCGCCGGGGTATGATGACGCCAGCGGGTGCGAGACGCTCTGCGGATAGCACGGGGAGTGAGAGCTACTTCTACGCGGCGCGGCACCAGGTTCGGCATAGAAGTTCAAGTCGTTCGCCCAGGAAACGCTGGTCGCGAGAGGTGCCGCGCCGTCGAGCGATGCGTGGCGCCTGAGAGCGCGAGGCCGGCTTTCCAGGCAGGAGCAGCTGCCGTGTTTCCCTCTCACGGAGTGACGAAACATAGGTGAAGAAGAAAGATATTCCCGATGCTGTTTACAATGAGCAGCGTGCGCCGACATTCGCGGCTCTTGTAACGAGTCAGCAGAAGCTGTTCGAGCTTCAGAATAGAATGCCAGCGTGGCGACGTCTGATTCGTCGTCCGAGTCGGGTGTCCGTTGCGTGGCGGATTGCAACCGTTCGATGAAACTCTGGCATTTGACGGCGCTGAGCTGGCGTTGAAGGTCTAGAAGATGGAGCTTTCCTTCCAACGACGCTAGTTCCACGTCTTCGACTCTTACAGTAGTGCTTCCTGTACAGCCGCGATTCACGGCGGGACGAGCATCCTGAGGGTTATCGTAGGCGGTGAAGGCTGCGCGCGACGCGGCGATAACTTGTGCTTCGGTGGGTGAAAACCGAGGGGCCATTGTATTTAAAAGTAGACAACTCCGAGTGCAGGCGTCCGTGCGTGAGAGTCAATTACTGGGATGGAGCCGAGAGCTTGTGGTGACGCGAATGGGAGTAATATTTGTATTGCAGGCGTCTTTAGTTCGACGCCTGAATAGCTTGCAGGATTTGCGAGCAAGTCCTGTGGTGTTCAAATGAACTTCTCGTGTTTATCCATCGAGCCAGTCGGCTTTCACTGAGCCAGTTAGGTTCCGCTCAAGAAAGGCGCTTCTTACTCTACTGTGTACTGCAACTGTAGTATCAGCGATGCAGAGTCAGCATGACCAGACTTGACGAATGCTATGTCCCTTCCTTCAACTGAGTCATGTTGCGATTCTGACAGTGCAGGCCATGGGGCAAATTGGGAGAGGCTTTAGGTTGCCTCGCTGGTGTGGTGAGTACGTGCGCAACTTGCTGCGGTGGACGAGGAAGAATCCCAAGACGCAGAAGAAGCGGGCAGACGGATAGACGCACCGCACCGCAAAGTACACCCAAGAGGACGGAAGGAGGATGGGATGGGAGGACGACGGAAGGAGGGTGGTAGGGAGGAGGACGGACAGAAACGGAACAGCAGCAGCAGGAAGCATGGCGGAAGGAAGCAACACGACGGTCAAGTAGGAGGCAAGAGGGTACTGGAAAGTGATCGGTGAAGTGCGGTTCCGTTAGATCCCGGAAGGGTCTTGCACTCACAGTACAGCTTCGTTTCACCCCAACCCCAACCCAACCTACATAGCTCGCTGCCCCCACGTCCTATTTGTTCGCTCCACCTTTTCTTTCGCCCTATCGCTGTCCGTCACCGGCTGTCCCCTCACGCCCCCTGCGCCCCCCCCCCGACTTCCCACTTTGCTCCCTGCATCGCTGGCTGGGTTCGTCCAACCAGCAACCACTAATCCAGCGAAACAGTACCGGTGTAACGAAGTACTACACCCAGTAATAAATTCACATTGAAGGCGAAAGGTGGATTTTCAGGACCAGACAAGACTCCTATTGGTGATTTGTGGCTGAGCAGGGCTGAGAGCGAATTTCGCAATTGGGAATGTGTTACATGCTCTTGAATGGTACAAACTATCTCATATATTTTCATTTCTGTTCAAAACATCAGCCACTGGCTCGAGCGTAGTGCTGAATCAGCAATGGAACCGTAAACAGGGCTCCAATGCCAGCTACCACAGAGCCATATCTACCAATTGCTAGACGCATCCATGCATTCACATGCTGACGCTCCTGATACAACCAACGCCACAGATGGGGAAAAGGGAAGGTGGACCACGATGAGGAAGTTGACAAGGAAAGAATGAGCTCATTAGGAGAATTGGACAAACCAATGCATTGAAACAAATCAGCAATAAGAAAGCAGTGACATAAGTTCTAAATGAGGAAGTGCACATACGAAGGTACTGTAACACGACTAGTGAAAGCACCACAACACGAGATGCATGGTGTATGTTGCTTCGTACATGGTACATGCATGAGACATCATACACATGGCACATAGTACATGGTACATGCATGAGACATCATACACATGGCACATAGTACATACGCACAGAGTACGTCACATGCTACCTGGTTCTTTGCTCGGAAGGCTGAAAGGGTTTCTGGAAGCAGAGTGATAGTGCTGCGATGCGCCTCAAACGGCAACCTGCGGGGAGAAGGTGGGAGGTAGGGGAAAATACGAAGCTCTATTTTCATTGCTTATACACATGTGTGCCTGTATCCCCCACAGCATTAATCAAAGGACCGTTTGAAGAGCAGAACCAAATCCATTTCGAAACGCAAACCAATCCATTTTAAAGGGAGAACCTAATCCATGCTCTCGCAAAAGTTGCCAACAGACATGGCCGGCATGACAAAGCAACTGAGAGGAATAGACAACTAGGTGCACGACCGAGCCCGAGGGGTGTGTGCTTTTCCAGTATGAGCAAAGCACGAAAAGGTGTGTTTTGAGCAAAGCACGAGAAGGTGTGTTTTGAGCAAAGCACGAAAAGGTGTGTTTTGAGCAAAGCACGAAAATGTGTGTTTTGAGCAAAGCACGAAAAGGTGTGTTTTGAGCAAAGCACGAAAAGGTGTTTTGAGCAAAGCATGAAAAGGTGTGTTTTGAGCAAAGCACGAAAAGGTGTGTTTTGAGCAAAGCACGAAAATGTGTGTTTTGAGCAAAGCACGAAAAGGTGTGTTTTGAGCAAAGCACGAAAAGGTGTGTTTTGAGCAAAGCACGAAAAGGTGTGTTTTGAGCAAAGCACGAAAATGTGTGTTTTGAGCAAAGCACGGAAAGGTGTGTTTTGAGCAAAGCACGGAAAGGTGTGTTTTGAGCAAAGCACGAAAAGGTGTGTTTTGAGTCGACTCAAACCACACCCCGGGGGGCGTGTGCTTTTCCAGTACGATCAAAGCATGAAAAGGCACATACTAACCCCTCCTTCAAGTTGGTATCAAAGTTCACACCCACTTCCATTTGGGTTTTCTACGCACCTGAGGCCCGATAACTGCTGCATGACCGCCTCTCTTACAAACGAGCGGCCCCTGCTTTTAGTCACAGTCACACACATGCAAACGCGGGATACAGTCACAAGGGCATAATTACAACATACAGTCACACAGACATACAGTCACACGGGCATAGACTCACAAGGGGGTTGGTTGATTGAGATACGATGAGACAGAGAGAAAGAACCTGTCAACTGCATGCATACTGAAGCAGCAGGGCATGGGAAAGCGCCAAGCTTTTGCAGTCTGCAAGTGATTAGAGCGCCATTCGCAAAGATCGGAAACGAACGTCAGCCATGTGGACTGGGTGAGCTGCAGTCGGGAAGTCACTTTTAGCAAGAGAAAGACAGTAGTACTAATCTGTATGTTGCACCCAGCTAAGTGCCAAGAAAATCAAGAAAACCAAACTCTCGAATCCACTGAAGAGATTGAAACGCAAACATGTTTCGGCTGACTGGGACAGGCCCCAAGTCAAAATTTCATCAGTGCTAGTCAGCAAGTGATCAGAGTGCCATTCATAAAGATCGGAAATGAATGCAATGCAGAGTTGGGGGTAGGAAGGCCTTCCCACCAGATGGGGGTACGAGATGGGGGTACGAGATGGGGGCACGAGATGGGAGAAGGTACTAGGTAGGAAGCAAGCAGGGTTTGAGAGGGTTGGAACGGACCTGCCAGCTCCTGTGATAATGACCAGTCCCCTGCTGTGCTGTGAGGGACTGCCATCACCACCTTGAGCCACGGCTGCTGCTGCTGCCGCCGCCGCCGCCGCCGCCGCTGCTGCCTCCGATGCTGCTGTCAGGGTGGATCGATGCACAAACACTGGCTTCTTCAGAGGTGCACCTGGGGCAGGGTGCTTCTGAGATGCTTCAGTTTCTGTGAAACGAGCGAGAGAGGAGAGGGGTGTACTCTCACACCCTCGGGCTGGTGAGGACCCCGTGGGAGCTGCCAAGCGAGTGTGCGAAGGAGAGGGCGAGTGAGGGTGTGAGTGCAGGTGCGGGTTAGGGAGTGAGGGAGGGAGTGAGGGAGGGAGTGAGGGAGGGAGGAGGGCATCCATGAGGCGGAGTCTACTCTGCATTGCGGACAAGCCATGCAGATCTAGAGTAACCACCCCCATGCCCTCGCCACCCTCCCATACCCTCTTCCCCATGCCCTCACCACCCTCCGGTGCCCTCTCCCCTGTACCATCGCTCCCCTCCCATACCCTCTCCCCCATGCTCTTGCCCTCCCATACCCTCTCCCCCATGCTCTTGCCCTCCCATACCCTCTCCCCCATGCTCTTGCCCTCCCATACCCTCTCCCCCATGCTCTTGCCCTCCCATACCCTCTCCCCCATGCTCTTGCCCTCCCATACCCTCTCCCCCATGCTCTTGCCCTCCCACGCTCTCCCTCCCACTCCCAACTCGCCCCTCCCACCTCCTCCTCCTCCTCTTCCCCGCTCACCCCCCATCTCGCCTGCCCCATGTCTCAACACCTCACCGCCCCAACCGCCCTTCATCCCCCTCACTCCCAACTCGCCCACCGCCCCACCACCACCACCTCCTCCCCCTTCTCCCCTCCGCTCACCCCCCATCTCACCAGCCCTATATCTCGACACCTGACCGCCCCAACCCCCCCTCGCCCCCATTCCAGCAGTCCCCAGAGCTCCCTGTGCTGCTGGTGCCGTGGCTGCTGGCTCTCCGAACCACTGCTGCAGCCACGGGCCGAGCCTAGAAAACAGGCCTGGTTCAGTGGCAGCAGAGGTGGCCGGGGGAAGCGGGGGAGGGCTTATAGGAGCAGTGGGAGGTGAGGGAGGGGGTGTTGCGGGCGGGCTTGGAACGGTGGCCGAGACAAGGGATGGGCGGAAATGGAAATCCATACTGTTTTGTTGCGGTGCTTCGTTCATACTCAGAAAGGGTGAGGTGGGATGAGAGTGGGAGGATAGGGATGAGCTTGGGAGTGTGGCGGGGGAAAGCGAGGGGTGAGGGTCCTGGTCTTGCTTCTCGCTGCTGGCTGCTTCAATGACTGGCTCGCTGGTGATGAGAGGTGACTGTACAGAAGGAATTGACTGTGAGGAGTGTGACTGTACAGAGATGGAAGGTGAATGTACAGAGGCGGAGTGTGACTGTACAGAGGCGGAAGGTGACTGTACAGCGGTGGGAGCACCAGCAGCACAGGGATAAAGTTGATGCTGCTGCTGCTGATGATAATGATGATGATTTTGCTTTATTGCAGATTGCTGCATGAGGCCAAGAAGCTGATCTGTCTGCGTCTGATTGGCTGGCTGACGTGGAGGAAGGTCAGTAGGCGCCAGGGACGCGAGCAGGTCAGAAGGCAGGGAAGGGGCGAGGCGGAAGGCGGCTGTGAGTGAAGAGATGGAGGCCTGCAGGGGAATGGGGGAAAGAAGGGATACGGTACATGGGGCGATTGGGGAGAGATAGTGCGGAAGGCGGCAGTGAGAGAGGAAACAAATGGTTGCAGGAAAAGGTGTAAAGCTGTGGAGCAGTGGGGGGGTGAGGAGAGGGGGAGGAAAGGGGAGTGCGAGGCAGAACGGGAGCAGGGGGCGACATCAGGAAGAACGATATATGTGCCCTTCTTTATACTCAAAAGAACAGCTATGGTGAAAAGCACACCCACACATTCACCCACCCACATCCCCCACCCACCCGCCAACCCCCATGGCGATTCGCTCCTACCTCTGTGGGTGTGATGCCTGAACCAATCATCTGCTGCCACGTGTCCACTGCAGCATCCACATCCGCCGCCCGGGCACATGCATCCAGCAACGTGTTGAACGTGACTATATCAGGAGTGACGGCATCAGGAGTCACAGTAGCAGAAGTGGTAGTACAGGGAGTTACAGCATCAAGGGTGCTTTTTGAACTTCTCGTCACACGGGCGGCTAGATCCTGTCTGGACGTGCACCGGGCGGCATTACTAGGCCAGGGCGGCAATTCTTGTCTCGACATCGAGGCGATGAGCTGGCGCATGCGATGGATGGTCTCAGACGGGCTGAGCCGGGGAGGCACGGATGGAGACGAGCCATGCCGCCCGCCATGCGTCAGCCACCCGTGGCCTCTCATCAATCCATCCGCCCACTGCTCCTCTCTGCGATCATTGTGTCTGATCACTCTCATCTCTCCTCTCCCCTCATTAACATGCTCACTAGTATGATCATCGCCATGGGCACTGACTGGCGTGATGCTCTTGGCATAGGCGTTGAGAACGATGTTGTAGCTCCGCTGCACACAGGCGGACCGGAGCAAGACACATGGGCGGACCGGAGCAAGACACATGGGCGGACCGGAGCAAGACACATGGGCGGACCGGAGCAAGACACATGGGCGGACCGGAGCAAGACACATGGGCGGACCGGAGCAAGACACATGGGCGGACCGGAGCAAGAACATTGGGCACATGGGTGGAAAAAGCAGCGGGAAATGGCGCGCAGCTTTCGTCATGTGATGACGACGCCACGCCATCACAGGTGAAACGAAGGCGCTGGTACAATGACAATGACCATGGAGCAGAGCAGTGAAACACAGCTGAGCCAGAAGCACGCAGCTCAGCAGCAGCAACCACCACCACCACCACCAACACCAAGACTCACGAGGTTGGGCGGGCAGTGCGCATGCAGCATGCGAGAGAGCACCCCTTCAGACCGCTCTGCATCCCCGCTCCGACTCCACGCATCTGCCAGCGCATTCCAGACCACCACGTCGTTAAAGCCACTCTTCCACCCACCATTCAACCCACTGTTGAATCCACCCATGCCTGCGTCACGGCTCCTTGCATCATCAGCAACACCAGCACCAGAAGACACCTTCCCCGGCTCCACCTGTCCCCCCACCCCAGTGCCTTCCAACACAGCCTCCCCCTCCCAAGTCCCCCCCAGCATCGCCTCCCCCACCACTCTTCTCCCCCCCAGCACCGCCTCCCCCACCACTCTTCTCCCCCCCAGCGCCACGCCTGCCATCACCCTCTCTGCTTCATCCGCCCTGCCCGCCCGCCCGCACACCGCAATCATTGCGGAGGCGGCGTATTTGTCTGCTTGCAGACCGCGGGCGCGCATCTCCTGCCACAGCTCCCGAGCGCGCGCCAGCTGTCGCAGCGCTACTCGCTGTCTCCCTTCCGCTTCCCCTTCCCCTTCTCCGACCCGCACTTCCCCCTCGCGTTCCCCCGTTGCGCCCCCGCCCAGACGCGTCCGCCCGGGTTCCGCCTCCGCCAGTTGAAACCTCCCCCTCCCGAGTCGGCGCCACGTGGCACCCTTCACCAGGCACAGCTGGATCCGAGCCGCGTACATCCACGTGGCAGGCGCGCCGCCCAGCGCGTGGTATTCCGCCATAAGCGCGTCGACCCGCTCCTCCGCGCGCCTGCGCCTGCGCCCGCCCTCCGCGCGCTGCCCCTCGCGCGCCGCTTCCCGAATTTGTTGCGTGAGCTCGCGAAGGCGTTCGCGAAGAGGTGGGCGATGCGCCTGCGAGTGCTGCGACGGCTGCGACTGCTGCTGGCGAGGACTCTGCCTGAGCCCGTCACGTGGTGCGCGCATGTCAAGATGCTGCGGCTGCGGTTGACGCTGCTGCTGCTCTCCCTGCTGCGACCTATGGTGGCGAGGACGCTGCCCGTCATATGCGGCGCGCTCAAGATGATGCTCCCGCTGTTTCTGCTCCTGCCGGCTTTTCTGCGGCAGTGCCTGCTGCTGCTGCTGCTCACTCTGCTCCTCTTGCGGCCACCGTCGCGGCTGCGGCGGCTGGGGGGAATCCAGCCTCCCCCGCGGCGGTTCTAGCTTCATTATCGGCGAAAAAACGGGAGGACAGGGGCGAGCAACGCGCCTCGTGCTGCTGCCCGAAGTGAATGCGAACGCATCGACTGGCGAGGGTGCCTAAATGCTGCTGATGTAAATGAAGCCTCGTCGCCTGTGATGTGCGTCAAGTGCTGTGCTTTCGTGGAGAGAAATGTTGGAAGGTGAAAACTGTACGACATGTTTCGTTTGGACAAAAAACTTTCAAGATGTGCATTGTCAACAGTCACTCAAGACAGTACACCAGTGCACTGTATCGAGTTCAACAACTTCCCTCCAACTCTCTCCCTCCTCCCCTCCTCTAGGTTTGTTTCTTCCCTCGAGATTCTCCTCTTCTCCCTTGAGAAACTCCTCTTCTCCCTCTCTCTCTCCCCTCCCAATCTCTTCGGAGAAACCTGAAAAACCTGGAAATCTTGCTCCTGGTCTCAGGGCTTTAGCAGGCACGACACGAGCTTCTTTTCTTCCGCGTTTCCTGGTCCTGCATTCGCTTGATAGTTAGAAGAAGATTAAAGACTAATATCTCTGCGACTTTCTTCATCGAAGGTAGGTTCCGTAAACGGAAATTGTGCGACAGGCAACAGGTCCTGACGGAACTGACGGAACGCAAACAGCAACAAGTTACCGCGACTGTGAGGGTTACAAGCAGCCTTTACCGTTCCAAAAGTCGTTTTCTTGAGCGTTAGGGTGCTAATAGTCACGTAAATAAGCGTCAGAGTCTGGATGTGCTGAGGAATCCTGAGACGGCCATCAGGGTTTCAGTTTTTTTTCATTCGTAGAGTTTAGGTCTTGTTCCGCTTTATTTGCAGAAGGCTTTTCTTCTATTCGTTAGGTCTCGTGAATTCTAGTGCCGCTCTTCGCATGTATCTCATCCTTCAGTAATCCCTCGTCCATTGCCATCAGCAGCTGTCGCGACGACGCTCGCATTGTCACTGCCGCTAGTACCTGAACTGACATTGGCCCTACTGAATCCGTGCGTTGTTCCCCGCAGAACCAATTCTAAAAACCGGCACCCGTTGCCGTCGCGATGTTGCTTCTGTTCGAGACCCCGGCGGGGTTCGCGCTGTTTAAGGTGCTAGACGACAAGAAGCTCGACAAGGTCGAGGACATCTGGACGCACTTCGAGTCGTCGGAAAGCGCCAGCAAGGCAAGTGGTGCTAAGGAGTAGAGAGCGGTAACCAGGCAGGGAAGTTTTTCACGAATTTATTAGAGAGTTTGGTAGGGCGAGAGATTAAGGTGACAAATGCGAGAGAATGCGATAGGTTTTAAGGGGGGGGGGGATGAGAGGATACATCGGGTCCATTTGAACCCCTCCCCGGTCCGTCCCAACAAACCGTTTTCTTCAACCTTCCCTTCGTGCTGGTGGTGAAGCTTAAGGCGTTCGACAAGTTCGAGAACGCGGCGTACGCGTTGAGCGTTATTTAAGCCCCGCTAACCCCTCTCTCCTCCCCCGTATTCCCCTTTTCCGTCTGCAGGTGGTGAAGCTGAAGGCGTTCGACAAGTTCGAGAACACGGCGGACGCGCTGGGCGCGGCGACGGCGCTGGTGGAGAGCAAGCTGAGCAAGGGGCTGAAGAAGTTCGTCAAGGCGCAGTGCCAGGGCGAGACGCTCGCCGTCGCCGACTCGAAGCTCGGCAACATTATAAAAGAGAAACTGGTGCGGGGATTGGGGCGCGGGGGAAGGGGGAGGACGCGGGTGAAAAGGGGGATTGGGATTGGCAGAGGGAACGCGATTCGAAGGGGGTTGGGAATGAGGGAAGGATTGTGATAAGAAAGGGGGTGGGATTGTAAGAAGTATGGTGGAGTGGAGACCAGGCCGAGCAAGGGCAAAAAAAATGTGAAGGCGCTGTGTCACTGCTAGAAATTTTGTAATCGAAGTGGCATCGGTGGTAAGAGGCCATTGGCACAGGTAGGCAGCGGAGGGGCTTCGACACCTCTCAGATTTCTTTCTGCCGCTCCCGCTCTTTTTTTCTCCCTCCGTGCTTCTCCACGCGCGACAGGGAGTGACGTGCGTGCACAGCGCGGGAGTGATGGAGCTGATGCGCGGGGTGCGCTCACATCTCTCGGAGCTCATCGCAGGGCTGCCGTTGCTCACTGTATTGTTCCTCTCCCTCTCCCTTGATTTCCCTCCCCTCTGCGCCCATGCAGGGAGTGACATGCGTGCACAACGCAGCGGTAATGGAGCTCATGCGCGGGGTGCGGTCGCACCTCTCGGAACTCATCGCAGGGCTGTCAGGCACGGATCTCGCGCCCATGAGCCTGGGGCTCAGCCACAGCCTGTCGCGCTACAAGCTCAAGTTCTCTCCCGACAAGGTATGCCCTCCTGCATGCATGCATGTATGCATACACGACATTGACGTACAAAGCGAATGGTTGGTGTATTCATGATCCGCCTCGCACGGGTGGGTGGATGGTACTTGCCTTACACGATCCAACCACTTTCCATGAACCCCAGCCACCCACTTTTCCTCCCTCCCCTACCTGACCACACACGATCAACCAATCCCGTTGAGCCCAGGTGGACACGATGATAGTGCAGGCGATCGGGCTGCTGGACGATCTGGACAAGGAGCTGAACACGTACGCCATGCGCGTGCGCGAGTGGTACGGCTGGCACTTCCCCGAGCTCGCTAAGATCGTCTCGGACAACCTGCAGTACGCGCGCGCCGTCAAGCTCATGGCCCACCGCGTCAACGCCGCCGACCTTGACTTCTCCGGGGTGAGCTTGAGATATTAGAGGATGTCGGCCATGTAGGATGCGGCGGCGATCTCTGCGTATACCCTCCCATGCTAACTTCCCTTCCCCCCCTTCCCCCCCCCTTCCCCCCCCTTCCCCCACCGCCATCCATCACCTCAGATATTGGAGGAGGATGTGGAGTCGGCCATGAAGGATGCGGCAGTGATTTCCATGGGGACGGAGGTCAGCGAGCACGACATGACCAACATCATTGCTCTCTGCGACCAGGTCAGTCACACGTTTCGATCAACACAGGGACAATGTAAGTGAAATGGCTGCCATGCTGGTACACACACTCACAGTGCTGCCACACTCACAGTGCGGTGTTAGTGCGACTGTATACGTGCTTTGGATTCCCATTCTCGCCCATCCTCGTCTGTTCGACTGAAATGCCTCATTCCTTACCACCCTAAAACCTTTCCTCCTCCAGGTGATCGCGCTCTCAGAGTACCGTGCGCAGCTGTTCGACTACCTGCGATCGCGCATGCTCGCCATAGCGCCCAACCTCACAGTGCTGGTGGGCGAGCTCGTGGGAGCACGTCTCATCGCGCATGCCGGTTCCCTCATGAGCCTGGCCAAGCACCCCGCCTCCACCGTGCAGATCCTGGGCGCTGAGAAGGTACGTACGTTGCGGGGTGAAGGGGTGGTGGTGGTGTAGCAAGGTAAAGGGCGCAGCGTGCTGGCCATAGCGCCCAACCTGACGGTGCTGGTGGGCGAGCTCGTGGGGGCGCGCCTCATTGCTCACGCGGGGTCATCGATGAGCCTGGCCAAGCACCCCGCCTCCACCGTACAGATCCTTGGCGCTGAGAAGGTAAGACGTGTGCGGATGATGGTGTAGCACGTCAGATGTCACGGCACGGTACAGAACGCAGCCTTTCAGAGGGCGCAGCGCAGGTGCATGCATGCCTGTCTAGTCGGTACGGTAGACAAATAGGGAGGCAGGTTTTAGGATCCTCGGTGGTGCTGAGAGGGTATGCCAGCCATGGCACTCGTGAGACCACCATGGCACTCGTGACACCACCATGGCACTCGTGACACCACCATGGCATTCGTGACACCACCATGGCACTCGTGACACCACCATGGCACTCGTGTCACCACCATGGCACTCGTGACACCACCATGGCACTCGTGACACCACCATGGCACTCGTGACACCACCATGACACTCGTGACACCACCATGGCACTCGTGACACCACCATGGCACTCGTGACACCACCATGGCACTCGTGACACCACCATGGCACTCGTGACACCACCATGGCACTCGTGACACCACCATGGCACTCGTGACACCACCATGGCACTCGTGACACCACCATGGCACTCGTGACACCACCATGGCACTCGTGACACCACCATGGAAGACAGTTGGTCATGCCTTCAAGTCGAAGCACGACACGCCCAAGTACGGGCTCATCTTCCTTCCACGCCTCGCTCGTCCTCGCTTTTCCCCTGCCTTCCCTCGTCCTCCCTTTTCCCCTGCCTTCCCTCGTCCGATCTTTTCCCCTGCCTTCCCTCATCCTCCCTTTTCCCCTGCCTTCCCTCATCCCCCTTGTTCCGAATCCCCCCTCTCCCCTCCCCCTATCAGGCGCTCCTCCGCGCGCTCAAGACAAAGCACGATACGCCCAAGTACGGGCTCATCTTCCACGCGTCGCTCATCGGCCCGTATCTTCTTGGTTCCCAACTCCTTTCCCCCAAACCCCCCCCCCCCCCCCCCCCTCCCCTCCCCTCAGGCTCTGTTCCGCGCGCTCAAGACGAAGCACGATACGCCCAAGTACGGGCTCATCTTCCACGCGTCCCTCATTGGCCAGGCGCCCCCCAAGCTCAAGGGCAAGATCTCCCGCGTGCTCGCCGCCAAGTGCTCGCTTGCTATCCGCGTGGACGCCCTGGGTGATGCCACCGAGCCCACTGTTGGCATTGAAGGCCGCGCCAAGGTTTGTGGTATAGGAGGGGGGAGGGGAGGTTGGTTGGCACAGATGGGAAGGGAAAGGGAATAAGAGACAGGAAGGCCAGGCGTCACCCAAGCTCAAGGGCAAGATCCCCGTGTGCTGGCTGCCAAGTGCTCCCTCGCAATTCGCGTGGACGCCCTGGGTGATGCCACAGTCGGGATTGAGGGGCGTTCTAAGGTGCGTGACAAAAGGGTGGGACAGGAGGTAAGGGGAAGGCCAGGCGTCACCCAAGCTCAAGGGCAAGATCCCCGTGTGCTGGCTGCCAAGTGCTCCCTCGCTATTCGCGTGGACGCCCTGGGTGATGCCACTGAGCCTACCATGGGGATTGAGGGGCGTGCTAAGGTGGGTGTGAGGGGATGAAATGGAACATAGTGGGATTAAGGAAATGTATTCTTTCAATGCGATTGCTGCTGGTGCTGCCATCCGCTCATGTTTCTGCACTGTACTGACTCTCCTCTGTGTGTTCCTCCCCTTTTGCGTGTGATTGACAAACAGATTGAGCAGCGGCTGCGGCAGCTGGAGGGGCGGGTGCTGGGTAGTGCGAGTGCAGCGAGCAAGGGCAAGGCGAAGCTGGGGGCGTACGACAAGGACCGGAAGGAGGGCACGGGAGGACTCATCACCCCTGCCAAGGTATTTACGTTACGGGTGTGTGTTAGAGTACTTCAAAAGCGTAGCGCGAGTGCAGCGAGCAAGGGCAAGGCGAAGCTGGGGGCGTATGACAAGGACAGGAAGGAGGGCATGGGAGGACTCATCATCCCTGCCAAGGTAAGTCACGAAGGGTGATGGGGATGGTAGGAGATTTGAAGCTTTTAGGGATACTTTTTACAGGCATGGCGTCACGCACGCAGCACTGGATAGGGTCATTTGTGAGTCGTTTCGGAACGATTCTTTCTTTTCAGGCATCACGTTTTGAGTTGACTCAAAACAGAGTGTCATTTCGGAATGATTCTTTCTTTTCAGGCATCACGTTTTGAGTTGACTCAAAACAGAGCGTCGTTTCGGAACGATTCTTTCTTTTCAGGCATCACGTTTTGAGTTGACTCAAAACAGAGCGTCGTTTCGGAACGATTCTTTCTTTTCAGGCATCACGTTTTGAGTTGACTCAAAACAGAGCGTCGTTTCGGAACGATTCTTTCTTTTCAGGCATCACGTTTTGAGTTGACTCAAAACAGAGCGTCGTTTCGGAACGATTCTTTCTTTTCAGGCATCACGTTTTGAGTTGACTCAAAACAGAGCGTCGTTTCGGAACGATTCTTTCTTTTCAGGCATCACGTTTTGAGTTGACTCAAAACAGAGCGTCGTTTCGGAACGATTCTTTCTTTTCAGGCATCACGTTTTGAGTTGACTCAAAACAGAGCGTCGTTTCGGAACGATTCTTTCTCTCCAGGCATCACGGCACGTCACAGTGCTCCCCACTTCACCTCTCACTCACTTTCCCCCACCGACCTTTCCCACCCCGTCTTTCCTGTCTGCAGGCCTACAACCCCGCGTCTGATGCACTGTTGACAGCCAAGTCCCGCTTTCAGGCACAGCAGTACAATATCTTTCACCCGTCTCTCCCCACCCCCTCCTCTCCCCCCTGCAGGCCTACAACCCCGCATCTGATGCGCTCTTGACAGCCAAGTCCCCAGCAACAGACGCAACACCAGCGGCAGGGGAGGAGTCGGCTAAGAAGGCGAAGAAGGAGAAGAAAGCAAAGAAGGACAAGGAGAACGGCGAGGCCACTCCCTCCGCTTCTGCCCGTGTGGATGCCGATGGGGCAGAGCCTCCCTCCACCGAGGTGCGTTGTGGTTAGGTGAAAGTGCCTCAGGTGGTGAGGGTGTGCTTCTGTAGCCCTCGGGTGGTTTTGGATGTGATCCCCTCGGTTCTGTCTGGTTGGTTAAGATAAGTAGCATGATCTTTCTCGATCCGGTGTTTGTCCTGTGCGCCCTTGTTTGCCCCTCCAATCCCATGTCCTTCAACATTTACTGTCGTTTTTCCTTTCTCCTTCCTCCTTCCTCTGTTTGTCGTTCCGTGTGTTTTCTTTCAGAAGAAAAAGAAGAAAAAGCGTGACAGGGAGGACGAAGGCAAGGCGAAGGAGGAAGCAGCAGCGCCGGTGACCCCCGCTTCTGAGAAGAAGAAGAAAAAGAAGGATGCGGCAGCGGATGGGAGTGCAACACCTGGTGCAACTGATGGTTCGGCCAAGAAGAAAAAGAAGGACGCGGGAGCGGATGGGAGTGCAATGCCTGGCGCTACGGATGGCTCGGCCAAGAAGAAAAAGAAGGCCAAGGAGGAGGATGGGGCCACACCGGGGGCGAGCGGATCGACCAAGAAGAAAAAGAAATCGGCGGAGTGAGGCATTTGATGGGGGTGACAAGACTAGATAAGGTTGAAAATGTTTTGTGATATGCAGCAAGAGCTTGAAAGGCATGTGTAGCAACGTCAGTGTAGCGACAGCTCCATATGGCACAGATGCTCCGCTGCAAAATGCAAGTGTCCGCATGTGCAAGTACCTACGTGAGAAATCTCCTTACCTGTGTTTTTTTTTCGTGGAACATGGAGACAGCCCTGGCAAGCTTGTGTAGTTAAACAGAATTGTCTGGTGTGACTTCGCCAACCCGATATCGGTTATAGCCAACAAGAATCTGAGTCGAGTATACCCTTTTCAACGGAACCGCTTATGTCGAGCCCTGCGCATTCAAATTCAGCCGAAATTCTGTCTAGCGGCCCTGCGATTCTGAGGTTTGCATATGTAGCTTGTCGCCTAGATTGTCGCCTAGATTAGTAGTTGTTGTGGTAGGCTGTCGGCTCTAGGTAGATTGTCGCCTATTGTAGACAGCAGCGATGGCGACTCGTGGCCGGATTTCCTCGTCCCTTCTTCCGCTCTCAGTTCCCGCTGTCGCAGTTGCGTATCTCCTCTGCACCGTTTTCTCGTTACTATCGCATTCTCCCTCCGCAAGTGCGGTTCGCGTACCTGCTACCAGCCAGCTGCTCATGACGTCAGCAGAAGACCCTGACATCAAGAGCCATGGGTTTCGCGAGCAAGTGACTAAAACGAAGGGTTCTTCTGTCGATGGTGGAATAAGCGCAGGCTCACAGAGTGAAGCCCCCCGTGCCCCTGTTTGGCCGCCGAGATTCCAAGTTGACTTCAATGAGGTGAGAAAGATTCGTGTGAACATGGGTTGTTCCACCTCGTTACAAGGCAATATGCCACAAGGGGATGTATTTTTCCCTTTAAATGGGACTATTCCCACCTAGTTATATGACAATAAGCTCATAACGGTTTCTAAGCAGAGCTGGTTCAGTCAACGAGACACTACTCCCCTCGTTCACTGCTGGAAATTTAACTCCCCTGGTTCCCGCTCACCACAGGAGATGTACCTCCCCTGGTACACCCTGACAACAGAAGGCACCTGGTGGTATGACTACACCACGCGCAGGCAGCGGATCGACCGGCGGAACGGACTGGGGGATCGATACTGCGGGTGAGTGGGTGATTGTAATTTTTTGGGCGCTTCAGAATGAATGAGGCAAATTTTTCAGCCCTTTCTGAAAAATGAAGAGGGTGGGGATCGATACTGCGGGTGAGTTAGCGCTTGGTATTCTTAGGGCGCTGCAGAATGAGGCAAAACTAAGCCCTTCCGCACTGCCTCTCAGGGCCCGCCAGCCACCCCATGCACTGTAACAAGACAGGAATTCACCATGCGGGATGCATGGGAATTTCCGAAGGGTTGATGCCTAGTTAGCTCCGAACAGGAACACTTGCTAGCATAGACATCTTCCTCTTATCCCCGTCACACTCCAGAACCCAGCGGGGCATAAGTGTGGTCATGCATAAGTGTGGTCATGCATAAGTGTGGTCATGCATAAGTGTGGTCATGCATAAGTGTGGTCATGCATAAGTGTGGTCATGCATAAGTGTGGTCATGCATAAGTGTGGTCATGCATAAGTGTGGTCATGCATAAGTGTGGTCATGCATAAGTGTGGTCATGCATAAGTGTGGTCATGCATAAGTGTGGTCATGCATAAGTGTGGTCATGCATAAGTGTGGTCATGCATAAGTGTGGTCATGCATAAGTGTGGTCATGCATAAGTGTGGTCATGCATAAGTGTGGTCATGCATAAGTGTGGTCATGCATAAGTGTGGTCATGCATAAGTGTGGTCATGCATAAGTGTGGTCATGCATAAGTGTGGTCATGCATAAGTGTGGTCATGCATAAGTGTGGTCATGCATAAGTGTGGTCATGCATCGGGGCATCGAGGCGCCATGCCAAGCTGCCATGCTCAAAGCGTGGCGACGCAGGCTTTCTTCTCGAGCCACCGCGCTTATTCTCTCGAGCATAGATATCTCTTCCTGCTTCTTGTTGGACCATCGTATCCCTTTTGATATAAGCATCTTGAATCCCTATCTCCTAGCTCGGACCTTCTCCCATCTACTCTCTCGTCTTTGTCTCTGAATCGATTTTTAAGTCGACTTAAAAATCGACTCTCTCGTCTTTGTCTCTGAATCGTGGCGTTATTCCTAGCTTTCTCCGTCCGCCGCGAAGACGACTCCTCTTCTCTTTAAACAAGCGGCGGCGCCGCCTCCTAAGTTACGGCGCCGCCTCCTAAGTTACGGCGCCGCCTCCTAAGTTACGGCGCCGCCTCCTAAGTTACGGCGCCGCCTCCTAAGTTACGGTGCCGCCTCCTAAGTTACGGCGCCGCCTCCTATGGGCCCGGCCAGCCGCGTCGTGCGGCGGCGCGCCGTAGCCCTGTTTCATGCACCCACTGGGTGCTCTCTTAAAGGACCCCCATCCCCTCCCCCCTTGTTCCCACTCCCTCGCCCACGTGCAGCTCCGCGTTGCCTCTGAGGGCCACCCCATGCACCCAGCTGGTGCTCTTTCAAAGGATCCCCCTCCCTCCTCCCCCCTCTCTCACTCTCTCTCCCACGTGCAGCTCTGCGCTGCCTCTGAGGGCTACCCCATGCACCCAACTGGTGCGGGACTCCTGGCGCTATCTCATCTTCCCCCAGGAAAAGGTGAGCTTTCCAGCACAGGCGCATGTAATGTAAGAATGATGTAGTGGTGGTTTGTCCTTGCTTTGAGCCGACTCAAAATTCTCCTGGCGCTATCTCGTATTCCCCCAGGAAAAGGTGAGCGTTGCGTCATCGGCGCACATAAGAATGATTAAATGATGGTTTTTCCTGGCTTTGACAGACTCATCTGTCGACCATCCCCCCTCACCCATCTTCTCTCTCCATCCTCCCCCCCGCCCCTTCCCCGCCCCCGCCCCCGCTTCTTCCACTTGCCTGGACTCAGTATTGCTGCCGCTGCTGCTCTGCGGCCAATGGGTGTGACGTGGTGCGCCCTGATTGGCTGGCCAATGCCACCTATATGGGCCGGGACTATGTGGATGACATTTCCTCTACTAAATGGTGAGGGGTGATGAGGGGTGATGAGGGGTGATGAGGAGTGATGAGGGATGATGCCTGCTGCCTGCTGCTCTTTGCCCCTCTGTTTGTTTTGTGCCATTGCTGTGTTCTCCTCGCAATCGCATACGGCCCCTTCCTCAGTTGTTCCATGTCCCAACATGTGCTGCCATCTGCATGTGTTGTCATGTTCTCATCTGGGTGTTTTCTCATTCGGGTGTGTTCCCATGTGGGTGTGTTCCCATGTGGGTGTGTTCCCATGTGTGTGTTCCCATGTGGGTGTGTTCCCATGTGTGTGTGTTCCCATGTGTGTGTGTTCCCATGTGTGTGTGTTCCCATGTTTGTGTTTTCATCTGGGTGTGTTACATCTGTGTTGCATGAGAGCGAGCAGGAAGCGGCAGGGGCTTCAGAACAACTACTACTGGCATTCAGAGGATGATGTGCCCATGCGAATCTACATGGTAAGGCATCAACAGGCATGCCTGTGCGTTTGTGAGAGAGGATGCTAGGTCACTGCCTCGCATCAGCTTCTTCTCCCTTCCAGTTCCATGCCATTCCTTCCAGCCGTCGCCCCATCCCACACCACATCCCACACCACATCCCACACCACATCCCTCAACCCTTTTCTCCCCTCACACCATACCCCCTCAGGAGCCCTTGGAGCAAATGACCTTCTCTCACGCCTCGTTCTATAAGCCGCACTCCTTTCCCAGCACCACCTTCGATCTACCTTCAGACATGGAGTAAGTGAGCGCACAGCATCTCTCCTCATTGCCGCTCATGTGCCACTCATTCGCCGCATATATGCCGCTCAGTTACCACTCAATTGCTGCTCGTCGAGTGTTCACGCCACTCCCTCCCTCTCTCACGCGCCCTCCCGCCCCTCACTCCCTCAGCTGTTCACAGCTCTGCTACGGCTTCTGTGCCCTCGCCCGACAAACCACGCTCTAACTCTAATCCGGCAAACCACACTACGGCAACAGCACGCCTCGCAGAAGCCTCACAACAACACGGGATGGTCTTTGAGGCGGCCCCAAAACAGCTTTGTGATAGGCCCTGAGGGCTGGTGGTCATCCCTTGTCTAAAGAACCGTTGCAAAGCAAAGCCCTGGCTGATGAGTTTAGTATAAGGATATGTTTGCAGCCTGGAACCGTGACGAGAAATGTGCCATGTCATGCCAATAAAACACGCAGATGCTGTATAATATACAGTAGTTGTATGGTATTACAAGAGCATCTTAGAGCGTGTTCCTACGGGCCCCTATCAGGCCAGCCCCTTGTCAGACTCGCCTCAAACACCAGAATTTCGGAAAAAACGCATTGTGAATTAGACGGTTTGGTCGTTTGTGAAGTGTGCGACAAAATGCGTTGGGTGACGTGGCACTGCGCAACGGTCCCGAAAGGTTGCAAAAGAACAAGTTTCCGAGTTCAGACAATTTTCAGGCGATTGAAACGTGTGTTTGGCGGAAAATTCTTTGTATGCTTTATACCCGACAAAACAGCATGTGTGAAGAAATTCGCACGATTCCCTGACCGTGGCTCGCTGAAACAGCACGTGCGAAAGATTTCGCGCGATTGCCTGACAAGGGTCACTGCACAGCATGTGTCAAAGATTTCGCGCGACCAATTCATCGAACAGCATTGGTAATTCTTCGACCAAGTCTGGAAAACGGCACCAGCCTGACAAGGGGTTAGCCTGATAGGGGTCCGTAGTAACACGCTCTTAGTGTGCCTAGCAGAGAAGGGCACCTTGTGTGCATGCCTGGTTGATGACAATTAAGTATACCGGTACTAGTACCGTACTACTACTGTATTAGAATACCATGCACAGCACATCAAGCGGTGCTGGCTAAAATCCGGCTGCTGCCTAGGTGCAAGGTTGAGCTCAGCTCACTCCCTACCGCGTTGAAACAGCCTGATAGTTTCACTTGGTGATTTGAAGCTGGCTGAAACACAGATGCATTGGATTATGCTCGCAACAGCACCTGAGCTTCAGAGGCACAGCTCTGTTGAAAGCACCTGAGGAGCACCATGGCTGCCCGCCTGTCTCCCGGAAGCTGTTGGGTCACCAAGCTGACCAATCAAATCCATCTCCACTGTTTCCCGTGCCACCATCCCTCCTCCTCCTCCTCCTCCTCCCTCTCCTGCCTCCCTCAACCCAAAATTCCCATCATCCACACACACGCTCCGCCCTCCCATCTCATGCGGTCCTTGCCCAGCAAACACACTCGTCTTTTTCTCGGTCGAGCGCCTTACCATCCCCATTAACCCCTCACCACCGCTCCCCACCAGACCCTGACCACACAGCAGCCCTCGAATGTAAAGCGCCTGAATCTCCTCGAATCTTCTGCCTGCCATGCCCGTGCCAACGCCACCATCAGCAGCAGCAGCAGTAGCAGAAGCAGCAGGGATGGAGGACGACAGAGGGGGCAGAACAGGGCAGCTCGAGCCAACATGAAGCACGGAAGACTCATGATGAGCACCCTTTTCAGCTTGTTGCATTGCCTCCGTTCGCTGCTCCTCGGCCAATCCCAGAAGCCCACGTGGCAGGCTTGCCGCCAGCCTGCGCTGAACGTTGCTGATCTCATTCATCACGAAACCATGTGACCTAGCAGTGCCTGCTGCTAGGGAAGCCAACCCCAGCGGAGCAGCAGCAGCAGTAGCTGCAGCTGCTGCAGCTGCTGTTGCGCCTTGCGAAGTCACGCGATGCCGCAGATTCGCCTCCACATAAGACCACAGCGTCTCAAATCCCTCCTCCGCCTTCCCAGGCGCAGGATCACCGGCGGCCTCCGCCGTGGCCGCGTTCGCACCTGCGGTTGCCGCCCCCCCGTCCGAGGCATTTCCCCACGCGGAATGCGTCCCAGCGTCCGTGGGATCTCCGCACACGGAGGAGACGCAGGCGCCGCGGGGGAACACGCGATGCGCTGTCAGGCTGACCTCGGCTGCAGGACTTTGCGCACCCGCGATTCCCCCAAGCAGACCGCCGTCGTACCCGCCCGCGCTTGGCCGCGCGCCCGCCGCCGCTGAGCTGTCGCGCGCTGCTGCGGCCGCGAAGCTGTCGGGCGCTGCTGCGACCGTAGCGCGCGCGTCTGCGGTAGCAGCGGCGGCGGCGGCGGTGGTCGGGCGCAGGGTGTCCAGCAGCGCAGAGAGAAGAGGGGCTTCACGGGTCGACCGCGCATTGAACGCGCCCAACGGCGGGAATGAATACTGGAAATTGGATGGGCCGGGCGCGGCGGGCGGCGGGGGTTGCGAGTGCAACGCGGAATCGCCGCGCCTGACGGCCAACACGTCACGATCTCTGCCAGCAGTGCTGCACGGCCGGCGCCGGGTCATCATGGCGCTACCGCGATCCCACCCCGCGATCTTGTGATGATTGTCCGCCGCCGCGCCGCGCGCCACCGGGCTCCGCGCCCGTTTCCGACCTGCGTGCGCGCAGGGCGGATATCCGCTCGGCCGCAATCCGCGCGGCGGAAACCCACAAGGCGGAAATCCGCGCTCCAGCCCCGCCGTCGCAGGTTCGGGGCTGCTTGGCCCCACCGGCGGGCTGTGCGACTTGGGCGCAAGCGGCCAGTCCTCTAGATTCGGAGTCAGTGGGCCGCGTGGGGTTTCTCCGCCGCCGCCGGCGTTCGCGGCGCCGCTGGTGGCGGAGGCCGTCGGCGCGACCGTCGGAGTAAGCGTCGCGGCGGGCGGAACGGCGGTAAAGATACCCGGCGGCGGCGGCGGAAGCAGCGTGGCGGCGGTGGAAGCAGCAGCGGCGCTGGCACCCGCTGCCGCCGACGCGACGTGCATGCGGGGCTGCGCGACGGCGGCGGCGGAAACGATCATGTGGAGCGGCTGCTGCGGCGGCGGAAGGTGGTTGTGCCGATTGCGGCACCAGAAGCGGCGCGGGGTGAGCGTGCGATCCACGCGTCGCTCGAGCACGGGAAGCGCGTCGAGAATTTCGCGATTCTCCTCACATCCGAAATCGGAATCCTCCGAGTTCTCCCCCTTCTCCCCCCAACCTGCGACCGCAATTCGCGGCGAGCCGGACTCGCGATCAGCCCCAACGACGGCGGCTCCATCAACCGGCGGCTGCCGCGCGGTGGATCCTGGAACTTCCCGCGCCGCCACGAAGTCCTTAAGTTCCGCGCGGCGGCCGTGCTTGCTCTTCTTCTTCTTCGGGACCTTGTCGATAATGAGCTTCGCGGGACAGCCGGTCGTGTCGCGCTCCACGCAGTGGTAGTAGAACCTGCGACGGTACCATGATGATAAGAGATTAGGGGGGAAATTAGGGTGGAACGAGGGTTGGGTGACGGTGGAATGCCAAAGGAGGTTGGGTGGAATTCTATTTCTGAGTGCTTCGTTAACATTACAAGACACACAAACAATTTGTGAACTGTTATTTTACACTGACACAAAGGTAGGAAAACCACGATAATAAAATAATAAAAACACGCACGATTCGGGTTCCATTGCTTACCTTTTCGCATTCTGGGAGGAAAGAAATTTATGCCCGTATTTCTTCCACTGATACGATTCAGCCTTTTCTTCTTTGTTAGCGGCTGGACTGCCGGAAAATGCGCCGCCGCGTTCGCCGCCAACACTGGCGCCGCCGCGGGCGATGGGGTTTGCGTTGCTGGAAGAAATACTTGCAAGGGTTGCGTTTTCCGAAAAATGGTCTTCGCCGCTGCCGCCGCTGCCGCTTCTGCGACAGTGCGACAAAATGGTGTCCGCCGCTGCCGCCTCGCCGCGGAGAGGATTTTGGCCTAAAAGGCGGGCTACTAATAATGCGGTGTCGAAGTGAGACAGATTTGCACCAGCGTCATGTGAAGAAGCCATGGAATCCATGGGAGTCTTACGGATAAAGTTAAGAGTCGAGCGTATCTGAGTCCATGGACTGATCTGAGTAAGAACGTTCGCTCTCGATTAACAGAAATCGATTTCTCTGATTGCGAGTAGTTTGGTTAGAGGGCTGTGCAATGAATGATGAGGCGAATGCAGCCGAACCGAGTGATTGGAAAAACTGCTTGCTTGGTGTGTCGAAATGGATACCCTCCCGCGGTCGTGGCTCGGGAAGCCTCGCAACGCGCCGATAAACGGTTTTAGAATCTCGAGAGGCACTATAGTGGTCGTGAGGCACCCTGAAATATGCTGCAGATTGCATTTCTCGCGCATTGTGCATGTGTAGCTCCTTGTAGCCAAGCCGAAGTGGAAGCTTGCCACGCAGGCGCAACAGTGGGAAACGGTTTTCATAGAGTTTTCCTATTGTGTGTGAGTGATCACTAGAGCGTGTCCGAAGTGAAGCGTCGAATGGATCTCGATGTAGTCGGTTAATGTCAACTCTCGGATCGAGAGTTCCAACCGTCAGGATTTACCGACATCGGATGTCAACGGATGTCGACTTCACTTCCGACCAGTCCTTAAGATCAAGCTGCCCATTTTTGTATAGCTCAGCCGATAAGCGAGCCCGCCCGGCTGAGCTCGCTGTCCGCGGGCAAGAAAAACATAAACCACAGTCGGGCATGCGTCCCTACAGCCACAGCCACAATCCTTCGTACACCTACATTCTTGCTCCTTGCATTTCTGACTAGCGATCATTCACGCTAAATTTTGCAAACACACCTGGCATTGTGGAGCAGTTTCAACATCATTTTCTGGCAAAATATATTAATCGCAGAAGAAAACAATACATATCTAGAAGTGTCACGTCGATACAGTACAAATGTTCTCGTTTATAGTCTGACGGATCAGCATCGCCGCGCACGGACT